CTCTCTCTCTCTCTCTCTCTCTCTCTCTCTCTCTCTCTCTCTCTCTCTCTCTCTCTCTGGGTCTGTCTTTCTCTTTGTATGTATGTGTCTCTGGATGAGCATCTTTTAGCATCTTTTTCCCTCTTTGCCTCCCCGACCCCATCTCCCTGTGGGTCTCTTTCCCCTGGTTTCTCTTATTGGTTTTCTCTCTGCATCTCTGGTTTTGTTTTGTTTTCTTTCTCTCCATCTGTGTCGGGTTCTCTCTTGATTTCTGGAATTACATCCCCGCAGAATTTGCTCTTTCCAAATCTCTTGGCCTGTCCTTCTCTCGCTTTATTCTTCTGACCCTCCATGTGTCTCTCTGGCTCCATCCGTCCCTCTGCCCTCTGTCTGTCTGTCTGTCCACTAAGTACCTATCTATCTATGTAGCTACCTACCTAATCAACCTTCTGTCCATCCATCATCTATGTCTTAGTGCCTTCCTGCCTCCCTGTCTCTGCGTCCCCCCGACACCCACCCTCACTGCCGGACTCCCAAAGTGGCCCCTCTCTCTCGAAAGCATCAAACCCATCCTTCATTTCAGCCCAACTCCCCGTGAGAAGCCTGTGCTGGGGAGGTGATTTCCCCAGATCCCCCAGATTCCTCTGTGTGGCAGTGCGAGCCGTGAGAAACCGCACGCCTCCCGCCCCGCGCCGGCCACATTCCCCAGCAGCAGGGCCTCTGAGGGCTAGTGACAGGGTGTGTGGGCAGCCCTGTGCAGGCGGTGAGGTCTGGAAGCACACGCATGTGTTTGCAGGCTCGTGTCTGTGTGTCACGTCTGCATCCTGCTGGCCCGCAAGGGGAGAAGCTGTGTGTGCCTGTGGGCTGCAGGGACTGGTGCAGGCTGGGTCCTTTGAGGAGCTGGACACCCTAAGGTTTAGGTCTCTCCCCTCTGGGCCATAGTGGCGCTGACCACGAGTCAGTGTCCAGGGTGGGAGACTTGCTGGGTGTTGTACGCACACCATCTTATTCAGTTTTCTCAGCTCCCCATTAGCCTGGGATTGGGATAAGCTTGTTGGACAGATGGAGAAACAGTCCCAGAAAGGCTGAGTCATGTGTATCACTGTAAGCTTTGGAGCTCTTGGCTTTTCCAAGGCATCTTGCCGAATGGCCTTTCATTTGCTCTTCTCGGGACCGCAGCTTGGGTGAGGGGCAGGAGGTCGACTGGACAGATGAGAAGTGAAGGCCTAGAGTGGCTACGGGGCGTCTCCGTGGGTGCAGCGGTCTGAGGGTCAGGAAGAGGAGTCGAGTCTGCTTGCCAGGCTCCTGTTAGACCCGATCTAAAAGCCACAGGCATCGGCAGCCCCCTCTCCCTGCTTAGGCTGGGCTGGTTCCACAGCTGCCTCCCATCCCCCCTCAGAGGGCCGCCCTGCCCTGCCCTGCCCCACCCAGAATGGCAGGAGCAGCTGCCTCCTGCGACAAATGTCCTTGGTCTCAAAGCCACACTCTGCCCCTTTCTCCCGGAGCCTCGCATGGCACCATCACAGGGTCTGCCTCACGTGCTTCTCCTGTGTGCTGACCTGGACCCCCCATGACAGTCACCATTTCTGCGCCAGACACCTTGCTATGTGCTCTGTCACATGGAACCCCCCGGCCCACCCCATGGAACCAGTACCCTTGTCCCCTTTTGATAGAGGGGCCCTGAGCCGTCAGCCACTTGCCTGAGCTCACAGGGCAAGAACCTATGAGGTCAGGCCCCAAGGCTGAGCTCTCTCCCTTCAGGCCCCCAGCCGTACCCCAACCCCACTAGCAACCTCGCTGGTCCAGGTCTGGCCTCTGAATGGGAAGATGGACGGAGGCCTCAGAGACACGGAGGCTGGTCCAATCTCAGCCCTGAATCTCACCTGCCTCACCTGTCCACCAGAAACAAACCAAGGGCCGGGTGGCGAGGCCAGCTCTCCTTCAGAGCGCTCTGAACCCTGCCGCCCTGAGCCTGCGTTCACACAGCAGACACTGAACTGGGCTCCACTGTCAGGCAGCTCTACCCAGGGCGCTGGGGTCATGGCCGGGATGACACAGAGATTATTCCTGCTCTTGGTGGGGGCAGGGCACAGACACTGCCCGGAATGTCACAGTGATTAAGTCTGTGATCATACAGGGCGCTCTGTGCTACAAAGGAGAGGCCCAGAGTACAGAGACAGCAGGTGGCGAGGCTGCGGTGGGACGAGGGAGATGTAGTTCTAGAAGGAGCAGGAGGGGAGAAGAACATTCGTGTCACTCACAGGGCCTGGCTCTGCTGGTCAGACCCACGGGGAGCGGGTGTCCTCCTCCCCGCTCTGTCCCAGAGAGAGCTGAGCACCTTGATCAAGCCCCACCTGAAGCTTCTCTTTCCCTAGCTACACAATCATGTCTGCTGCCTGGTTGCTCTCCTCTAGCCTCGTCTGTGCCAGTGTCACTTCAAAAAGATGCAGCATCCAGAGTCCAGCCCAGGCCAGACCAGGACAGAGTGAGGCAGGGCCATCTCTCTCCTCCTTTGTTCGGGACACTATACCTCTATTAATGCCTCCTAGGCACACCTGAGCTTTAGGTCGCCTACAGTTGTAACCAGGAAGAATTCTAAATCGACCCCGACTTGCTCGCCTCACCAGGTGACCCAGGGCTCCTGCTCCCCCTGACACCTTCCTGGCGCCTCCAGACGCTAGCCTCCTCCCCCCCACCGAGCAAGCTCACCAAGAGTCCATTGTGCTGACTCCGAAGCTCGTTTGTGCCCATGGAACTTGTCAAAATAATTATGTCATGTAATTAAATATTACTTAAAATGATGAAATGTGTACACGAAAGGAGAGAGTTGTTTTCGGCTAGAAATAAGTCGACGGCTTTGAAAAGACTCCATACATACATTTTGCTTTAAAAAATTGCTGTTAAGTTAGATATCGGGGAGACCAATGTGAGAGTGTGGGTCACAGATGGGCGACCCCCGGTGCTGCATGCAACACACACATGGGTCTTTGCAGCCTTCCTGCACTTTAAAGAAACAGAAGCCGACAGCTGTAGACCTGTGGTTCTCAAAGTGAGTTCCCCACCGGCAGCATTGGCACCAGCCTGAAAACTGCAAAAAAACACAGATCTCCGACCCCAACCCAGACCTGCTAAGTCGGGGACTCTCAAGGTGGGCTCCCCAGCAACCTGAGTCTCCACAAGCCCCCAGGGGTTTTAATGCCCACTTAGGTCTGAGAACTTCCACTGTGGGGTAGCCCAGCCATCAGAGAGGTACATTGTGGGGGGCGAGGGAAGGCCCCACAGGCACCTGAAGAGCAGACTGGCACCCCAAAAAAAGGTGCTGTGCTCACATCCCATGTTGGTGAAAGGATGAAGAGAAGCCTGCTGTCAGGGCACCAGGATGGAGGGAATGGATGTGTAGGCCACGTCTTAGGTTCCCCACCTCTGTGGGCTTTGTCTGAGTGACACCCTGCCCCTGTACACAAGAGCCTCTGAGGGGAGCAGTCAGCAGTGCCCGCATTTTTCAGATGGGGGAACTGAGACTTGGAGCCATTAAGCCATCGGCCCAAGGTCTCGCAGCTAGCGAGTGGCCTGGCTCACCAGGGCCATGGCTCGGGGACCAGCCCTGGGTCTGGGGCTCCAGCACTGTCCTCTCCAGCCGTTGACCGTCTGTGGGTTTTCCGGCAGCTCTACCACGCCTGCAACGGGCCGGGCCTGTCAGTGCTGTGCTTCGTCCGTCACGACATCCTGGAGTACTTCAGCGTCTACGGGACGGCACTGAGCATGTGGGTCTCGTTGATGGGTGAGTGGCCACCCCTTGTCGCCCAGACCTACAGACGGGGCCCCGTTTCCCCCACCGTCCATGCCTGCCCACCCCAGGAAAAAGCCCAGCCCGCTGCCTGGGCACCCCCACCCCTCATCCCTGAGACCCTGCGCCCTCTCCTGGGCCTCAGAGCCGAGCTTAATCTATAAAAAAAGAATATGCAGCTCTTAAATGCCCCTTTCCCGTTTTCTGCATCTTTTAAAAATTAAACATTTAACAAAGGCTTGTTGTGACCAACCTGGCAGAGGCGAGCCCAGGAAGGAGTCAGGAGCCCTGGCCTCTGCCTTTCCCCGGGGAAAGCTTTGTTCACTGTTCAGTGTTCGTGCCCACCCCCACCCCCCAAGACCTTATTTTCACGCAGTTTCCAGCCCGGGTTTGTAGGCAGATGGATCGTTCAACCATGTCGTTCTGCAACCTTCTTCCCCTGACCGTTGTCTCGTGGCAATGTCAGGACACAGTCCCCACTACACGGGGCCTCCTGCTGTTTGATCAGGCCCTGTGGAGGACCCCGATCTTTCTCGTGTCTTGGTCCTAATGGTCCCCATGGAAGGGACCCATTCCCAGTCCCTCACACATTGACCTGTTTATTAAAGCAGCTTCCCACCAGCATTAATCCAAGCTGCTCTGTCCATGGAGAAGCAGCAGCCTGCCTTTCCTTGAGTGCCAGCTGGCATTCAGACCTTTGGATGAGCAGGCCAGGCCTTGGGGGCATGCTAGCAGAGGGACACCAGCCCACTTGGGCCCCTAAGGGGGAGCAGTGGCCACTCACCTCTCTCGGTTTCTCTCCCCAACCCCTCCAGCCCTGGCTGACTTTGACGAACCCAAGAGGTCGACTTTCGTGATGTTCGGTGTCCTGACCACTGCTGTGCGGATCTACCATGACCGCTGGGGCTACGGGGTGTACTCGGGCCCCATCGGCACAGCCGTCCTCATCATCACGGCTAAGTGGGTGTGTACGGTGTGCCCCTTCCCTGGCTGACCCCTCCCACCTGGGGTCTCCATGTACTGCCCTCCTCCTGGGTGGGCAGGCTGGACACGGCTTCGGTGAAATCACATAGAAACTGACCATCAGGCACCCCAGACACACAATGCCGGTTTGTAGCATGACTCTAACTCACAAGCTCTGGACCTAACCCAAGTTACTGAGCTTCTCTGCCTCAGTTTCCATATCCGTAAAGTGGGTGTTACAATAACAGTCCAGTACCCACCTCATAGAATTGGCTCAAAGATGAACTGAGATGATGCATCTTAAATACTGGAACAGAACCTGGCTTCTAATGTACCCAACAAATAGGGGGCATTATTATTATTATTATTATTATTATTAATTATTATTATTATTGAAGAGAATGGCTGCTTTTGAAATGCGATATCAATTGCAAATGGCCTGGGTTAATCCGGGAAGACTTCCTGGAGGAAGTGAGCCTTCAGCTTGGCTCTAATGAGAAAGGAGGGTGTAATATGAGGTTGACAGCAAAATAGAACTGCTCACGAATATTGAGGCAGCCTGAGCCGGAGTTCCCAACATTAATGGCCTCTTGCTGGACACCTGAGAGCCTGGCACCCACAGACCCTTTACATGTGGTCCTCAGGCCTCCCTGCACCCTCTGTTGTACCAAGCGCTCCTGGCTGCAAGGACCAAAACCCACTATTCACACGAGCCCAAGCGAAAGAGGGACGCTGCGGCAAGATGGCCCCAGGGCTGGCTCCTGGGACCCAGAAGCCGGGCAGGGGCTGAGCCTTGCAGGGAGCAGAGCCCAGGCCTGGAAGGGAAGAGGGGTCAGGTTGGGCAGGCCGTACAGGAGGTGCCCACCAACCCATTTCACGGACTGGGGAGGGCAAGTGACGTTCTGGTGGCGAGCTTTCTAAACAGCCCCCGCTCCTCCCTACACCCAGGAGTCGAGGGTTTACACCGACAGCAAGAGAAGAGACGGCGCATTTTTCCCACGCCACTCCAACGCAGGGAAGCAAAGCTGGCCCTGGGCTGACCCAGCAGGCCCCTCTGCGCTGCCTGTGAGCAGGGAGGAAGTGTGTTGGGTCTGGCTTGTCTGGACCCGAGGAAGGGCCAGGTTAAGGACCATGCTGGAATGCATAAACACAGAGAGCTCTGGGCTCAGACGATGCGCTGACTCCCCGGCAGGAAGCAGGATAAAGGCTCCTTGTTCTGGTCGGGAGGGCAGCAGCTCCTGCGGGTCTTGGCCAGCTCTCCATCTGGGCTGGAGTTTAATTAGCCAGAAAAGCGGTCACTCACAGTGTCCCCACAAAGCGCCATGGGGACTCCCATGGCCTTCAGGCTGTGGATCTGGCCACAGGAACTGAGAGAGCTACCTGGCTCCCTACATCTGGGGCTCAACTTGTGTTTTCTAGACCATTTAACGTGGAGTTTATTTTGGATTTTCAAGGGCAGTTGTTTCCTGGAAGGAGGGTGGATTTTTCTCCCTGAGGCTCATCCCTTCTTGAGCCAGGTCTGGGAACAGCAGTGCCCAGGGAGGGGAAGTGGAGAGGGGTGCGTGACAGGGCCAGGCCCAGGCGCGACCTTGGGCAGGTGCAGGGTTGGCCGGATGAGGGCTCCCTGGGCTGCAGGCACCATACCCAGGGTCACAATAGCCGCACCCACACGGTACCTGTGTGCGCCATGGCAGGTCCTGATTCGTCATTGGCCATGGCAAATTCTAGAAAACTGAAAACCAGACTTCATTTCATAATTCATTCGGTGGCGAAACCTGCCCTGACCTGGTGTGAGGTTCCCCAGGGCCTGCCTTGGTGTGTGCCAGCCTGTGGGTCTGCACGCTGCTGGTGCTCCCATGCTGCACAGTGTGTGGCTCTCACTTTGATCTGAAACACGTGCTCTCTGAAACACCCTGGCCCCAAGGGGCAGCGTTCTCGGGACACGCCCCTGCACCTTCCTCTTCTTTGCGGTGTATGTGAGCCCATCTTTCTAAACGTGCACACCTATTTGAGCCTCATGCTAAGTTTAAGCATTGATGTCTGAGAAGTAGCAGGTAACGTGCTGGTCAAGTTTGCCTAGTAAATAACATGGGTGTCCATTGACCATTGAAGCACCAAAGGCTCTCACAGACTACCACAAGGGCCCCCCTGTGGGCCATGCTAGCAGAAAGGCCCCACGCTCCACCCCCCCCCAGCCGTGAGCAGTCGCCGAGTCTTGTCCCCTTGGGGATCTACTCTAGCTGGGAGAGGGAAGCAAAAATGGGGGGGGGGGCCTTGTTACATCCCAAACAGGCAGGTGAGGGGTCCTCCAGGGGCCAAATGGCCCAAGGGCTCTCCAGCCCTGTCACCCATGCTGTGGGCTCCTGTGGGCATCTCCCAGAGCCCCATCTCCTACCTGAGGGTGACCTGGGTTCGAGTGCCAGGGGCCAGCTCTCCTTCCAGCTCAGGGCGGCTGTTTGCAGACGGGCACTGTGACCTAAGAGCTTTCTTGTCGTCACTGTCCCCGCAGCTGCAGAAGATGAAGGAGAAAAAAGGTCTGTACCCCGACAAGAGTGTCTACACCCAGCAGATAGGCCCTGGCCTCTGCTTCGGGGCCCTGGCCCTGATGCTGCGCTTCTTCTTCGAGGTACCCGGGTCTGGGGGATGCAGGGGGGAGGGGTGCNCCACAGTTTGCACTGAGCCCCACAAGTCAGCCAGCAGCCCTCCAGGCCGCTGCCTCCTGGCCCCATCTCTCCTGTAATTCACACAGGGCTCGGGCTCCCCGGAGAGTCACTGAAAGAAATTACTTCAAGCCCCCCATCTTAGCTCTGTTCAGCCCTCTGAAGCGCTTCTTTTGCTCCCCCATCTGTACATGCTTGGCACCCCCAGATGATCTTCCAGGTCACCTCCTCCAGGAAGGCCTCCAGGTGCCCCAGCACTTCGTTTTGGCTTCTCAGGTTGGGCTGGAGTCGTCTTCCCCAAGCCGTGGCCGCTCCTGGTTCAGGCTGCATCCTCAGCGACTCGAGGATCCTAGCATACAGTCAGTGCCCAATAAACAAAGGGGTGGATTTTGTCGGGCAGCTCCTGTGGCCAGGCCTCGTCGTCCTTCGGGAGTGAGGACGAGGTGTCCCCTCTACTCTCCCCAGGCAGAGCTCCCTGCCGGCTATGGGGTGGCCCTAGCCATCATCACCCACACACGTTGTCACCTGTGGGGCCCTGGCTGGGGAAAGGGCGCCATGGACACCTGGTCTTTAGAAGGAGGTTGTCTTTCCACCAGAGCTTTCTGAATGTCTGAGGAGGACCTTGGAAACCAGAAAACGGGAACATGTCTGCAGGAAGTAGAGGAGGGGTGTGGGAAAACAAGGTGGAAGACAGAAGCAGGCTGGGAAGGAGACGGGACGGGGTGGGGGAGGGGCACAGTGGGCCATGGGATGGCCAGCCCTGCCCTGCACAGCCAAGTGTCCAGAGTAGAGCTCAAAAGAACCCCACACATGGGCCAGCCCCTGTGAGGTGGGCCTCACCTGGCACCCGGAAGCCAGCCAGCATGGCCCGGAAGGCAGCCACCTCTACCACCTCCCCCAACGTCCTCCCTGTCCTCTGCTGCCACCCAGGGCCTGGGACCACAGAGCTGGAATCACACCCAACAGGCATTGGCCATCTTGGAGGTAGCCAGCTGGGCCCNGGCTGACGCGCCCCGCCCCGCCCCGCCCCGCCCCCGCAGGACTGGGATTACACCTATGTGCACAGCTTCTACCACTGCGCCCTGGCCATGTCCTTCATCCTGCTGCTGCCCAAGGTCAACAAGAAGGCTGGAGGCGCAGGGCCCCCGGCCAAACTGGACTGCTGCACCCTGTGCTGCGCCTGTATCTGACTTTGCACCCCCACCCACCCCGTCCTAGGCCTGGTGAGAGTCCTCCTGTCTTTCTCCAGCCCAGGGTGGCCAGGAGAAACTCTGTCCTATTCTGAGAGGCCCCTGGGGGTTGGGAAGCTCCCACTGTGTTGACTGCTCCTTGAGAACCCACCTACTAAGCTCCATGCTGGAAAGAAAAGACACTTCTCCCCCCTCCTAGGCCTCGGTCACGGCTGGTCGGCATGTCTGCAGAGTCCTGGAGCCAGCACCTGTCCTCTCCACCTCCCTAGCCCCAAAAGTCCCAGCCCGGTCCCCACCACAAAGGGGTCATGCCCAGCACCTGGTCCTGTGTCCTCCTGCACCACCTGTTTTCTTTTGGAAGCTGGCATCACCACTGCTGTCCTTTGCTCTCAGGCTCTGAGCATGCCCATTGAGGAAGCCAGGGCCAGCAGGGCCAGCTCTGTCCCTGGCCCAGGCCTGCCTGCTCCTTGGCCGTCTCTCCAGCTGGGTCCCTAAATCTATCCGTTTCAATGACAATAACCAATAAGAATCACCTTGCTTTATTGACCTTACGAGGAGCCCAAGTGAGCACCCGTTTCAGTCCTCTGAGCACTCTGCCCCGGCTTTCAGCCCTGCCCAGGGTTCCCCAGCGTGGGAAGGTGGCTCTGGGTGCAGGGACTTTGAGCAGAGGCCGATGACAGGCCCCAAAACTGGGCTCAGAGGGAGGTAAGCCTGCTCCTGTCCAGAGCCTGTCTGCACCGGGCCCCAGGGGGTGACGGGAGCTGGCCTCCCAGACATCACCTCACAAACCTGAGCCTCCCCACAGTCCATCCCACCCTGGCTTCCTGAATAATCCAGGCACATCTGTCAGGCAGGAAGTTACCTGCACCTGCCTGGGGCCTGTTTGTGTTTCCAGACCATGCAGTTACCCACATCCACTCCCACCGTGGGGGGCGGCCTGTTATTTGTCCCAAAGTCACCTCTTGCACACCTGAGAGGACTGAGAGAAAGCTGGCTCCAGCACCTGGGGCTGGGGACCAGGTGAATCCCTCTGCCAGGCCCCCCACCCCATCTGTCAGCCTGCCTAACTGGCCAGAGGCCGCGCATCTCAGGTCTGGACACCCACAGCCTGGCCCTGCCGCAGCAGCTTTCTGTCCCCACAACCTGTTAATGACAAAGCAGCCCACTCAGCTCCTCACATGGCGCCCGGGGTCCTTGCCAAGCCCGTTTTCCAGATGAGGAAGCTGAAACTCCACAGCTTTTGGGCCGTCCACCCAGGCGTGTCCCCATCACAGGGCCCTCCCCCACCTGGCTCTGCACTCCTGCGCGGAGGGGTGGGCAGGTGCTGCCCCCATCAGCTGCAGCTCTGGCTGGGGGTGGGGCGTGGGGGGCTGCAAGCTGGAAAGAGGGTGCATACTGGAAACAGTCTTTCCCTCTGTCCCCATCTTCCACCTGCACAAGGGGACATTCATATGTCACAGCACCAGGTTGTAAGGAAAGGGGACACTCTGGTGCTATACAGGGGACCCAGGGGGCATTGCTCCAGAAACAGGCATCTGCAAGGTGGCTGGCCCCTGCCCATCCCCTCCGTCCCCCGTTACTTCCTGCCCCTGCCCTCCCCCATCCTCCCAGCCCATCC